TAATTTCACGTATTAAAATCATATTTTCAAGCAATGACTTCAAATTCGGAACCACACCCATATCACATTTTCTTCAATAACTCCCAACATGTGTAAACATTGACCATGTGCATATAAATTCAGATTTCACGAGCTCTTTCCTATTCGAGTACTCATACACCCCTGCATGGATTTGAGTTGGATTCGCCTTTTATACGTGAGCCGGTACACATCGCAAACGCTGATTGGATAAAGATTGCGAGAATCTTTAAATCACGAAACCCGTTTCCCTTAAATTTTTTACTAGGAGACTATAATTTATCTATCAAATTATTTTTCTTTAAATATTAAATGTCGTCTAAGTTTGTTTTAATGATTAGTCTTCTTCTAGATTCATTAATCATCGCGATATTTATATATACATATTATGTAATAGACCTATCATATCACGCCTGTAGTTACAAAGTCAACTACAAATTAATGCAATAGAATAAGACTCAATAATTAAAAAAAAAAACTCAGTATTCGGGCCTTAAAACCACAGATAAGTGTATCAATACCAAAGGGTAAGCTCAAATAACCTTTCAAATAAGTGTATCAATAATCAAGGATTGCCACTACTAAGCACAGGGTAAGATGGGTGTAACATTGGTATTGCTAGTTATTAAACACGATTTTGTCTTGTGCTACATAAAGTGTTTTCTATGCAATGATTATATACAGGCACTTATTCATTGTTACATTGTTACTGCGAATTTCAAAAGCCTCCAAATTGTGTGGAATAGAGCATGCAATGTTTTTCAGTTTCAAGCAGGTTTTAGTAGATTCTGACCAATTGTATTTTCAGACTTATTCATTTCATGATTATGTAATACTGACCTACTTATCTGCCTAGCATATCTTTAAATTGAGATTGAGACCTCGTGTTGTAAAAGCATGTCATGGTATCTGTTTACCTCAGTATAAAATAACAAACAATTATCTTAAACGATGATCTTATCTCGAAATGATCTTATCATGAAATTCAATTTCAGCTGATGAATGCGCACAAGGAACGGATAATTGCCATCCAAATGCAAGTTGCACAAATACAGATGGAAGTTTTGATTGTGCTTGCAATCCAGGATACTCTGGAGACGGTGTCAATTGTACAGATAATGATGAATGTGCTCAAGGCAGCACAAACAACTGCGACAGTAATGCCATGTGTATGAACACCGAAGGATCATTCTCTTGTAATTGTAATCCAGGCTACACCGGAAATGGTACACTATGTCAACGTAAGTCAAATTGATTGGCTAAAATGCACGTTTGAAAACAAATTTTATAAACAGGCCTCATTTGCCATTGAATTGAATCTCCTAATGTTCGCTGAATTTTTATGAGTATTCTCTACACGTTTGGATCGAGTAACTTTAACAGTATTACCGTAGGTTTAAAATGATGATATTGAACTGATGTTAACGCCATTTCCACCATTTCAAATTTTACTTTGCGCATACGCAGCTCTGAGAGAGCACGTGCTCATGTTTGTTCACCTGATCGCATCCTGCAATTTGATTGGAGATAATGCGGGAGATGACGTAATGGGGAATCCCCGAATACGATAGAATATGAAAGAATCATGGCTAGAATCCAAACTTTTAGTGATATCCACATTTCACTTTTTGATGGCAAGGCTTGAACATGTTTCGAAATGTTTTGTAACATGAAAGTTCGCATTTCGTCTGTCTTTTTGTATCTTTGATGTTACTACTGTTAATTCGGCAATTTGTTTACCAATTTCGAGAATAACATTCATCCATGGGGGTTTTGTCACTTGTGTATATTCCACTTCTTCCTTTGTGTAAAAATTCATATTTTCATTTGTTTCTTTGTTCTTGCAACTCGGACCGTAAGGCCCTAAGTGTTATTTAAAATGAGATTATCTTAAACGATGATCTTATCTCGAATGATCTTATCATGAAATTCAATTTCAGCTGACATTGATGAATGCGCACAAGGAACGAATAATTGCCATCCAAATGCAAGTTGCACAAATACAGATGGAAGTTTTGATTGTGCTTGCAATCCAGGATACTCTGGAGACGGTGTCAATTGTACAGATAATGATGAATGTGCTCAAGGCAGCACAAACAACTGCGACAGTAATGCCATGTGTATGAACACCGAAGGATCATTCTTGTGTAATTGTAATCCAGGCTACACCGGAAATGGTACACTATGTCAACGTAAGTCAAATTGATTGGCTAAAATCCAGGGCGGGGAGATTTCCCAAAAATGACCTTTCATATTGGCACGTTCGAAAACAAATTTTATAAACAGGCCTCATTTGCCATTGAACTGAATCTCCTAATATTCGCTGTAGTTTTATGAGTATTCTCTACAAGTTTGGATCGAGTAACTCTAATAGTATTACCGTAGGTTTAAAATGGTGATATTAAACTGATGTTAACGCCATTTCAACCATTTCAAATTTTACTTTGCACATTCGCAGCTCTGAGAGAGCATGTTTATGGCTAGAATCAAGGGGGGGAGATTTTCTAAAGATGACCTTTCATATTGGCACGTTTGAAAACAAATTTTATAAACAGGCCTCATTTGCCATTGAATTGAATCTCCTAATGTTCGCTGAATTTTTATGAGTATTCTCTACAAGTTTGGATCGAGTAACTTTAACAGTATTACCGTAGGTTTAAAATGATGATATTGAACTGATGTTAACGCCATTTCCACCATTTCAAATTTTACTTTGCGCATACGCAGCTCTGAGAGAGCACGTGCTCATGTTTGTTCACCTGATCGCATCCTGCAATTTGATTGGAGATAATGCGGGAGATGACGTAATGGGGAATCCCCGAATACGATAGAATATGAAAGAATCATGGCTAGAATCCAAACTTTTAGTGATATCCACATTTCACTTTTTTCGACCACTGATCAAGAATATGTTAACGCAATTAGAAGGTTAAACACTTATTTAAATAAAAAGTAGGTCAGTATTACATAATCATGAAATGAAGTCTGAAGATACAATTGGTCAGAAAGTACTAAAATCTGCTTGAAACTGTGACACATTGTATGCCCTATTCCACTCAATTTAGAAATGTTTTAAAATTGATAAAATTGATGGCAAGGCTTGAACATGTTTCGAAATGTTTTGTAACATGAAAGTTCGCATTTCGTCTTGGTCTTTTTGTATCTTTGATGTTACTACTGTTAATTCGGCAATTTGTTTACCAATTTCGAGAATAACATTCATCCATGGGGGTTTTGTCACTTGTGTATATTCCACTTCTTCCTTTGTGTAAAAATTCATATTTTCATTTGTTTCTTTGTTCTTGCAACTCGGACCGTAAGGCCCTAAGTGTTATTTAAATTGAGATTATCTTAAACAATGATCTTATCTCGAAATGATCTTATCATGAAATTCAATTTCAGCTGACATTGATGAATGCGCACAAGGAACGAATAATTGCCATCCAAATGCAAGTTGCACAAATACAGATGGAAGTTTTGATTGTGCTTGCAATCCAGGATACTCTGGAGACGGTGTCAATTGTACAGATAATGATGAATGTGCTCAAGGCAGCACAAACAACTGCGACAGTAATGCCATGTGTATGAACACCGAAGGATCATTCTCGTGTAATTGTAATCCAGGCTACACTGGAAATGGTACACTATGTCAACGTAAGTCAAATTGATTGGCTAAAATCCAGGGCGGGGAGATTTCCCAAAAATGACCTTTCATATTGGCACGTTCGAAAACAAATTTTATAAACAGGCCTCATTTGCCATTGAACTGAATCTCCTAATATTCGCTGTAGTTTTATGAGTATTCTCTACAAGTTTGGATCGAGTAACTCTAATAGTATTACCGTAGGTTTAAAATGGTGATATTAAACTGATGTTAACGCCATTTCCACCATTTCAAATTTTACTTTGCACATTCGCAGCTCTGAGAGAGCATGTTTATGGCTAGAATCAAGGGGGGGAGATTTTCTAAAGATGACCTTTCATATTGGCACGTTTGAAAACAAATTTTATAAACTGGCCTCATTTGCCATTGAATTGAATCTCCTAATGTTCGCTGAATTTTTATGGGTATTCTCTACAAGTTTGGATCGAGTTACTTTAACAGTATTACCGTAGGTTTAAAATGATGATATTGAACTGATGTTAACGCCGTTTCCACCATTTCAAATTTTACTTTGCGCATACGCAGCTCTGAGAGAGCACGTGCTCATGTTTGTTCACCTGATCGCATCCTGCAATTTGATTGGAGATAATGCGGGAGATGACGTAATGGGGAATCCCCGAATACGATAGAATATGAAAGAATCATGGCTAGAATCCAAACTTTTAGTGATATCCACATTTCACTTTTTTCGACCACTGATCAAGAATATTTTAACGCAATTAGAAGGTTAAACACTTATTTAAATAAAAAGTAGGTCAGTATTACATAATCATGAAATGAAGTCTGAAGATACAATTGGTCAGAAAGTACTAAAATCTGCTTGAAACTGAGACACATTGTATGCCCTATTCCACTCAATTTAGAAATGTTTTAAAATTGATAAAATTGATGGCAAGGCTTGAACATGTTTCGAAATGTTTTGTAACATGAAAGTTCGCATTTCGTCTTGGTCTTTTTGTATCTTTGATGTTACTACTGTTAATTCGGCAATTTGTTTACCAATTTCGAGAATAACATTCATCCATGGGGGTTTTGTCACGTGTGTATATTCCACTTCTTCCTTTGTGTAAAAATTCATATTTTCATTTGTTTCTTTGTTCTTGCAACTCGGACCGTAAGGCCCTAAGTGTTATTTAAATTGAGATTATCTTAAACGATGATCTTATCTCGAAATGATCTGATCATGAAATTCAATTTCAGCTGACATTGACGAATGCGCACAAGGAACGAATAATTGCCATCCAAATGCAAGTTGCACAAATACAGATGGAAGTTTTGATTGTGCTTGCAATCCAGGATACTCTGGAGACGGTGTCAATTGTACAGATAATGATGAATGTGCTCAAGGCAGCACAAACAACTGCGACAGTAATGCCATGTGTATGAACACCGAAGGATCATTCTCGTGTAATTGTAATCCAGGCTACACCGGAAATGGTACACTATGTCAACGTAAGTCAAATTGATTGGCTAAAATCCAGGGCGGGGAGATTTCCCAAAGATGACCTTTCATATTGGCACGTTCGAAAACAAATTTTATAAACAGGCCTCATTTGCCATTGAACTGAATCTCCTAATGTTCGCTGTAGTTTTATGAGTATTCTCTACAAGTTTGGATCGAGTAACTCTAATAGTATTACCGTAGGTTTAAAATGTTGATATTAAACTGATGTTAACGCCATTTCCACCATTTCAAATTTTACTTTGCACATTCGCAGCTCTGAGAGAGCACGTTTATGGCTAGAATCAAGGGGGGGGAGATTTTCTAAAGATGACCTTTCATATTGGCACGTTTGAAAACAAATTTTATAAACAGGCCTCATTTGCCATTGAATTGAATCTCCTAATGTTCGCTGAATTTTTATGAGTATTCTCTACAAGTTTGGATCGAGTTACTTTAACAGTATTACCGTAGGTTTAAAATGATGATATTGAACTGATGTTAACGCCATTTCCACCATTTCAAATTTTACTTTGCGCATACGCAGCTCTGAGAGAGCACGTGCTCAATGCTCATGTTTGTTCACCTGATCGCATCCTGCAATTTGATTGGAGATAATGCGGGAGATGACGTAATGGGGAATCCCCGAATACGATAGAATATGAAAGAATCATGGCTAGAATCCAAACTTTTAGTGATATCCACATTTCACTTTTTTCGACCACTGATCAAGAATATGTTAACGCAATTAGAAGGTTAAACACTTATTTAAATAAAAAGTAGGTCAGTATTACATAATCATGAAATGAAGTCTGAAGATACAATTGGTCAGAAAGTACTAAAATCTGCTTGAAACTGTGACACATTGTATGCCCTATTCCAATCAATTTAGAAATGTTTTAAAATTGATAAAATTGATGGCAAGGCTTGAACATGTTTCGAAATGTTTTGTAACATGAAAGTTCGCATTTCGTCTTGGTCTTTTTGTATCTTTGATGTTACTACTGTTAATTCGGCAATTTGTTTACCAATTTCGAGAATAACATTCATCCATGGGGGTTTTGTCACTTGTGTATATTCCACTTCTTCCTTTGTGTAAAAATTCATATTTTCATTTGTTTCTTTGTTCTTGCAACTCGGACCGTAAGGCCCTAAGTGTTATTTAAATTGAGATTATCTTAAACGATGATCTTATCTCGAAATGATCTTATCATGAAATTCAATTTCAGCTGACATTGATGAATGCGCACAAGGAACGAATAATTGCCATCCAAATGCAAGTTGCACAAATACAGATGGAAGTTTTGATTGTGCTTGCAATCCAGGATACTCTGGAGACGGTGTCAATTGTACAGATAATGATGAATGTGCTCAAGGCAGCACAAACAACTGCGACAGTAATGCCATGTGTATGAACACCGAAGGATCATTCTCGTGTAATTGTAATCCAGGCTACACCGGAAATGGTACACTATGTCAACGTAAGTCAAATTGATTGGCTAAAATCCAGGGCGGGGAGATTTCCCAAAGATGACCTTTCATATTGGCACGTTCGAAAACAAATTTTATAAACAGGCCTCATTTGCCATTGAACTGAATCTCCTAATGTTCGCTGTAGTTTTATGAGTATTCTCTACAAGTTTGGATCGAGTAACTCTAATAGTATTACCGTAGGTTTAAAATGGTGATATTAAACTGATGTTAACGCCATTTCCACCATTTCAAATTTTACTTTGCACATTCGCAGCTCTGAGAGAAAAGTTGGGAGTTTCATCAACAGAAATGACAATCTTGGACATTGCAAACATATTCATATGTTTGTCTTTTCTATTAGTCAGTTTAGTATTAGTATATAGAAAACATAGTTTAGTTTCTTCACAAATTCAAGAACATAAATCAAAGATACTAGTATGTTTGCCAATTATAATCACTTCATTTAAAGACACCACTTCAAAGCGATATGCTGATAACAATCACCAAATAAGGATCATTTATGAAACATATACAACTGTAGCTATTCTTAATGAGTTCTCACTCTCATTCCATGCTTATTTTACAATGAAACATGAACTTAAGGTCACCAGGTCAATTCAACTGATAGCTCTAGTTACAGCTTTCATTCATCCTAATATATATGAATATTTGATGAGATTAGAAGGGGTCTCCTTACTAATCCGACTTTTCCATACAACAACATTTAAACCTGATTAACCATGGATGACTTGCATCTTTGTGAGCTACCCTTTTATAACGTTACTCCAGTGATGTTCTTTGATGTCATTCCATCAGCTAATAATCACATTGACTTTGAAAGCTTAATGTTCAATCCAAAAGACCTTGATAGAGGTGTTGCTAATGACCCCTCCAATCATAATGTTATTGAAGATAATGATTTTTCAACAACTTTAATTGAAAAATGTAAATATTATACTCTTGAGCAAATGAACAGCCAACCAATGGACAGTGGGAATAATTTGTCTATGATACATGTAAATATGAGAAGTGTCATGAAAAATCAATGGAAATTTGATAACTTGCACAATTTATTAAAGCATGACTTCCCTATTATAGCCATGTCTGAAACCTGGTTAAACAATAACAATCAAGATACTTATAACTTAGAAGGATATAGCACCATATGCAAATCTAGAGATGGTAGAATAGGGGGAGGAGTTTGTATACATATTCTTGATAATATTAATTTCACCAAAAGACCAGATTTAGAATTTAACATGGATAATTGCGACTCATGCACCATTGAGATGTCTTTAAAGTCTGGGCAAATTATACTAATATCTGTCCTTTATAAGCCCCCGAATGTTAACCTCAGAGATTTTAACAACAACATAGATATATTTCTTAAAAGATTAAATGGTGAAGGGAAAGTCACATACATCTTAGGAGACTTTAACATAGACCTCTTAAAGGCAAATGAGCATTATATGACCGAGGATTTCTACAATTCTTTGTTAACAAATGGTTTTCATCCTTCAATCTACAAGCCAACACGAATAGGATCAAGATCAGCTACCCTTATTGATAATATTTTTACAAATGCTGTAGATATAAGTTATTCTGGCATAGTGCTAACTGATATATCTGATCATTTCCCTATTTTCTTAACCACTAAAAAACAACTAAAACAGTCAATTTACAAGACTATTAATTATAGGATTATGAATAAAACAGCTAAGGAGAAATTCAACTACCAGCTTTCAAACACAGACTGGAATGATGTCAAACAATCAGATAATTGCAATCAAGCATATTCAGTTTTTATTGACAAATTTATGAGTGTTTACAATGAATGCTTTCCTTCAAAATCAAAAACAATAAAGATTTATCTTAATACAAGGAAACCTTGGTTGACTGACGCTATTCTCACATCAGTTAAAGAGAAGAACAAACTATATAAAGAATATTTAAAAAATCCCAATCCTATTAATAGTACTAATTATAAGACATATAAAAATATTCTCACAACTCTAATACGGAATGCAGAAAAAACATATTTTAAACAAAAAATTGATGAATGCAAAGGGGATGTTAAGAAAACCTGGTCAATATTAAACAAGATTTTAAAAAGAAAACATAATAAATCACAGGATGTTCCATTCTTTCAAGTTGATGGTAATAAAATTACGGACAATCAAGGTATAGCCGAAAGATTTAATGACTTTTTTGCAAATGTTGGGAGAAATCTAGCAAATAAAATTAAACCTAATAAATCTTTTAGGGGTTTTATGTCAAACAATGACAGTGCTAATTCCTCAATTTTCTTAAGACCAATCTCAGAGGAAGAAATAGTAAATATAATATCTGAACTTAAGAATGGTTCACCTGGACTTGATCAAATCAAACCAGTTATATTGAAAGAAAATAAGCTTGCTCTAGGAAATATTCTGACTTACTTATGTAATATATCACTTAAAACTGGAGTTTTCCCAGACACCTTAAAAACTGCCAAAGTTACTCCTGTATATAAAAAGGGCTCTGTTCACCTTTTCACTAATTATAGACCAATCTCACTTCTTAGTGTTTTCTCTAAAGTATTCGAGAAAATTATGCATAAAAAAGTCACACTATTTTTGGATAAATTCAAATTATTAAGTAAAGATCAATTTGGTTTCAGAAAAAACTTATCAACCTATATGGCAATTCTCACCTTTTTAGAATCACTTCGAGATTCGCTTAATAATAATAAATTCTGTATAGGCCTTTTTCTTGACTTATCGAAAGCTTTTGATACGGTTGATCACGCTATTTTGCTGGAGAAGCTTCATTATTATGGAATTCGTGGTGTTGCAAACTCTTGGTTTAAATCTTACTTAACGGATAGAAAACAAATTACACAATATAAAGACCATGTGTCAACCCCAACAACTATTTCATGTGGAGTACCCCAAGGGTCTATCCTAGGACCCCTACTTTTTATTATTTATATAAACGACCTCAGTTTTACTTCTTCTATATTGAAGTTTGTACTTTTTGCAGATGACACCAGTATTTTACATTCAAATGAGTCGAAAGAAGAACTCATATCTGTTGCAAATAATGAACTTAAAAAAGTCAATGACTGGTTCATGGCTAACAAGTTATCACTTAATATTGAAAAGACTAATTTTTTATTCTTTTCACCTAAAAGAGGAACATATAAACCTGAAGAAATCAAGATAAAAATTGATGACAAAAATATTACAAGGAAGGATAACATTAATTTTCTTGGTGTCCTAATCGATGACAAACTAAATTGGAAACTTCACACTCAAAAACTAAAAGGGAAAATAGCTAAAATTATACACATGTTATATACTTCTAAGCACTTACTTGACAACTGTTCGAAAATGAAAATTTATAATGCTCTTATTCATTCGGGGCTTGATTACTGTAATATAATTTGGGGTAATGCTGATAAAAATCTCCTCAAGCCTCTGCATATACTCCAGAAGAAATTTGCCAGGTTAATAACAAATTCTAGTAAGTTAGCTCATGCTGCCCCTTTATTGAAAGA